AACCCAGTGTTCTTAACTCCCATGTCTTAACCACCATGCCACCTGCCGGCCCCCTACCCAATTATTTTTTTTTTAAACAATGAATTATTATATATAGCTTTACTTACTTATTGAAATTTGACCAGAGAGGGACAGAGAGAGAGAGTGAGCAAGCAAGTGAGAAAGCAAGCCACCAGGTCCAGGACTCGACCTGCAGTCAGCCACGTGGGAGCCCTTAACCACCACGTCACCTGCTGACCCTTCCACCCAGTGTGTTTTGTTTTTTTTTTTTAATAAAGAATTATTTTATATAGTTTTATTTATTTATTTTAATTTGACCAGAGATGGACAGAGAGAGAGAGAAAGTGAGAAAGCAAGCCACCAGGTATGGGACTCGTAGTCGGCCATGTGGGATCCAGTGCCCTTAACTACCATACTTCATGCTGGCCCTGACCTACCCAATGTGTTTTTGAGCCATGGGTCTGGGACAGTTGCAGAATTGGTCATGAGGGATCTAGCACCTTTTTTTTTTTTTTGGAGAGGTTTTTGCTATAGGGAGCATGCACTTGCCAGGAAGACAGAGAGAGACAGAAAGCGAGAAATCACCCCCCCAGAGGGGATGACCACACCGCAATCCCTTCTCCATTCTCCTCCCAGGCTCTTGGGTATGCACACACATGCGGTCAGCGTGAGTTTAAGCCACCAGGTCTGGGACTCAAACTGTGGTCAACTACATGGGAGTCCAGCAACATAGCCATTACGCCAACTGCTGGTCCCAGGGATCTAGCACCTTAACCACCACACCACCTTCTGACCCCTTTTTTTTTTGTAAAGATATTTTGCCATAGGGTGCGTATGCTGGCCAGAGAGACAGAGACAGAGAGAAGGAAAGTGAGAAATCACCACCCAGGGGGATGGCCATGCTACAATCCTTTCTTCATTCTCCTCAGGATTTGGGGTACACGGGCACATTCACCCAGGGTGATTTCCAAGCCACTGTGTCCAGGACTGGAACTGTGGTTGGCCATGTGGGAGTCGAGTGCCTTAACCACTATGCCACCTGCTGGCCCCTCTTTTTTTTTTGAAGAGAGATTTTTTGCTGTAGGGCACAGGAGCTGCTCGATAGAGACAGAGAGACAGTGAGAAATCACCCCCCAGGTAGGATGGCCACACCACAATCCCTTCTCCACTATCCTCTTGGGATTATGGGCATTCATGCACACACACCCAGCGTGAGGGTTTGTTTGTTTGTTTGTTTGTTTGTTTGTTTTTTTGAGAGGTTTTTTCGCTATAGAGCATGTGCGCTTGCCAGATAGACAGAGAGAGACATAGGAAACCACCCCCCAGAGTGGATGGTCACGCCGCAATCCCTTCTCCTCCATTCTCCTCTCGGGATCTTGGGCACACATGTACACATGCCTGGGTGAGTTTTAAGCCACCAGGTCAACACATGAACCGCGGTCGACTACATGGGAGTCCAGCAACATAGCCATTATGCTAACTGCTGGTTCCTGCGTGAGTTTTTTTTTTTAAGTCACTGGGTCAGAAATTACAGTTGACTACTTGGGAGTCTAGTTAAGTAACCATTATGCTATCTGCTGGTCCAGCTCCTCTTTTATTAATTTTTTAAATAATTTTTAATAATTATATATTTATTATTATTTTTGATTTGACCAGAGAGAGACAGAGATGAAGGAAGAAAGAAAGTCATCAAGTCTGGAACTAAAACAGCAGTTGGCCATGTGGGAGTCTAGCACCTTAACCACTGTGCCACCTGTAAGCCCTCTTTTTTTATTTATTTATTTTATTTGTAAAGCAGTCTCTTGCTATCTTGTAATCATCCTGCCTCAGCCTCTGAATAACTGGAACTATTGACATATGCCACCACATTTGGCTTTTAAGGGCGACCGAGAATCAAATCGAGATTTCCCAAGTCAGCCTCAGCCTATTGAGTAGTAGTGTCAGGACCAGGACTCAAACTGCTTTGGTCATGTGGGAATCTGGTGCCTCATCCACCAGGCCACCTGCTGACCCCTACTGATTTATTACTAATGTAGCATAAAAGAATGTTGGAGTATAAAAATATTCTTCAATAAAAAGTATCCTATCTCTAGAGTTTACTTATTTCCTAATAACCAACTTACAATCTTTTTTAGAAAAAGGAACCATCTTTGGAGAGCAGAGTTTGTTCATTTGAAGAAGAGAGTGAGTTATCAAATGGCATCATGAGGAAGGTGAGGTGGAGCCCTTTACGGTAGTCACATTGATCTCTTAGCGCAGGAGACTGTAGGTTTCTCAGGGATAAATATTTTATCTTGCCTACCATATTTCCCAGATAACCAACATGTTACTTCGTACATAATAGGAATACAAATATGATTGGATTTAATTAATTCTCTGAGACTTGCAAATAAATGAGCTCTTTGAGTTTATTTTGTATGGAGTTTATTAGCGCTTACTATTCACTATCTTTCTAGATAATGCCATTAATGTCTCACTTTTTGTTTTCTTTCAGGAAAGAAAGGCAGCCAAATTAAGTAAGGAAGCACTGAAAAAACTCCACAGTGAGACTCAGCGCCTTGTTCGAGGTGATTGAAATCAGTACTGGAAATTCTGAGTCAGATCACAGTATTTATTTGTAAACTGAAGTTGGGGTTTTTTTTATTATTTAAGCACTCCTAATGTGAATTCAGATTAAGATATCAAGTTTAGAATTGATCTTGGAGAATGACCATTGTTCTAAAGCCCTCAGAACATGAGTATAAACAGAAAATTTCCAGAACTATAGTAGATTTGTAGAGGAAGTTTTCTAATGATTTTTTTATGAACTAATTGCATCAAGATCCCTTTGAAAGGTTTATGCATATATAAAATGTTAGTCCCCAAATGATTCTGATTCTATAAGTTTGAAATGGATTCAAGAATCTGTATTTCTCTTTTTTTTCTGTTCTTTTGACTTCTATCTAATTTATTTTATGCTGAATATATTCCCATGCCATAAGTTTTTGTTTCTTCAGTTTCTTCTGGGATATCTTTTTCTTCTGTGCAGCCTCCTCTTCTGGTTTAGGAATAGTTTGCTCCTTTTCATAGGATTGTCTCGATGCGACGGGGAGCTCATGTGTGGTTTAATCCGACACGAGCTCTGTGAGTATGACGGCACGTCTAGGATGCCTGGTTCACCTGAACATACTCAGTGACCAGAGAATCTACGTGTAAACCTTAAGTTCTTAAGTTCAGCATTACTGTCTATTTTTAAAGGCGTGCAGCAAATATTCAGCACTCTTTCAATCACCCACTGTTTGGTTTGGGCACATCTACCAAGTGACATCTTTCAGATACTTGGTGGCTTTTTGGATACACATATCCTTAATGGCTTGGGCGATTTCATGGTTTTTTGTTTTTTGGGTTTTTTTTTTTTTTGAAGAATTATTGGGACCAGCAGTTGGCATAATGGCTATGTCTCTGGATTCCTATGTAGTCAGCCGCGGTTTGAATCCTGGAACCAGTGGCTTACACTCACGCACAGGCGCATTTGTGTGTGTGCCCAAGATCCTGAGAGGAGAATGGAGGAGAAGGGATTGCAGCGTGGCCATCCCTCCTGGGGGGTGATTTGTCGCTTTCTGTCTCTCTGTCTCTCTCTCTTTCTGGCAAGCGCATGCACCCTATAGCAAAAACCTCTCCAAAAAAAAGAAGGGAATAAAAAGAATTATTTATTTATTCATTAATTTATTTTAATTTGACCAGATACACAGAGAGAGAGAAGGGGAAAGTGAGAAAGCAAGCCACCAGGTCCAGAACTCAAACCATGGTCAGCCATGTGGGTATGTCCAGCGCTTTAAGCACCACACCACCTGCTGGCCTCCTATGGGTGTTCTTAAAGTGAACACAGAGATTTGAACCTCTTGGTTTGCATAACTTTGTGGGGTTCTCTGAATCAAGTGAATGGCAAGCCATTTTCAAAAATCACCTTAGGCCACTTACAAGAAGAGCTCTTTTCTTTATTTTTAATTTGACAGAGGGCATGTGCACGTGCTGGAATAGGAGAAGGTGAGAGAGGGAAGTGAGAAAGCACCGTTCATGGGGCATGGTCATGCCGCAATTTCTTCTCCATTTCTCCCTGCACTCAGAGTGTTTTTCAAGCTGCCAAGTCTGGGACTTGAACCATGCCGGTGACCATGTGGAATCCAGCCACCTTAACCACCAAGCTACAGGCTGGCTCTGATTTGTATTTCTAAAAAACTTGGGGCCAGCCATGGCCTGGTGGTTAAGGTGCTAGATTTCAGCCAGTGTTCAAGTCTCAGACCCAGTGGCTAGAAAATCATATAGGCATGTGTGTGCACACACCCAAAATCCCAAGAGGAACCTGGAAGAGAAGAAATTGAGGTGTGGTCATCCCCTGGAGGATGATTTCTCATTTTCCCTCTCTCTGGTGAGCACACACACACACCCTATGGCAAAAACCTAAAAAAAAAAAAAAAAAAGTTTCCCAAGTCTCGGGGATCTCACAGCTAGATCTAAAAGCTGCTGGTCTTCAAAGAGTTCTGTGCACTATAACCTAGCTCTTTACTTAACAAGGGCGGGACTGTTTTCTCTTTCTGGCATCAGGTTTGGTTATACTGTTTGGGTACTGAATATCAAGGGACGTTGCAGAATATACACTACATGTATTTGCTTGTTTTGTTCCATTTTGTAGAGTCTGCACTTAATCTTCCATATCACATGCCTGAGAATAAAACCATTCATGATTTCTTCAAACGTAAACCCCGGCCCGCTTGCCAGGGAAATGCCATGTCACTGCTGAAGTAAGAACCCTCTTTTCTTGTGATTATAATTTTTGTGAACGTTTGATTTTGTAGCAAACATCTGGTTAAAGAGTTCAGATTCCTTAGTCCCTTAAAACGAACTTAAGTGATTTATTATGTGCTAAGAGATGAGACTGTTTTTCAACTCCAGCTCCTTTCCGTTTCCTAGGTCATCCAAGTATCAGTCAAGCCATTACAAAGAAAGAGAGACTGCAAATGCGACTGAAACGAATAGTGACCACCATAATAAAGGTTGTGAGCAGACCATAGGCACAGAACGTGAAGTGGAAATTAACGCAGTCCCTGTGGTTTCCACAGAACCCCCGACCATTACTGGATTAGATGAGTCTTGCAATAAAGATTTGGTGAGAAGTGAAGTGCCAGAAGTTCAGGAGAAACAGAAGCAGAGCGATGCTAGACTTTCACCTGAGGACACCTCAGTGTCCCAACAGGAATTCAGCTTCCTAAGGAACAAGGACAGTGAGGACTCTCAGGCTGGAGGGCTTGTGGCATCTGAAACTCATGCTCTGGAGAGAGAAGAAGGCCTGAAAAAAACAGAAGAAATAGTTGCCAAAGTGGAAGAGCCCAGGCAGCAGCCGGAACCAGCAGCTGTGCCAGCAGCAAAAGCGAGGAGGTTCACTCTGGACAGACTTAAGGAGCTGGGAATAGACGTTTCCGTTAAACCCCGGCTGGGTGCCGATGAAGATTCCTTTGTGATACTTGAAGAATCTGAAACCAACAAAGGTAACCCTTTAAATTGTGGGGAGCCCCCTGGAGTGATTTATCCTGGCAGCTTTTGCTTATTTGCCAGTGAGGACAACAGGGAACCAAGGAGAAACCAGTAAGCCCACAGGACCTTATCTTACAGAGGTACCAGACGTGGGCAGAGTCCCATGTCAATAAAGCTGGCAGGGCTCCAGAATGATTTAAACCTTGTTTAAAAGGGAAGCCTGTTGGGAACCAGCAGTTAATGTAATGGCTATGTCGCTGGACTCCCACATAGTCGACCGTGGTTCGCGTCCCAGACCCGGTGGCTTAAAACTCATGCTGGGCGCGTGTGTGTGCGTGCCCAAGATCCTGAGAGGAGAATGGAGGAGAAGGGATTGTGGTGTGGGCATCCCCCTGGGGGGTGATTTCTCGCTTTCTGTCTCTATGTCTCTCTCTGTCTGACTGGCGAGCGCACATGCCCTATAGCGAAAAACCTCTCCAAAAAAAAAAAAGGGAAGCCTGTTGATAGTTCATATACAAAGGGGCACATTGCTGTTCTGTTATGTACTAAGGAGTTTATTTCTGCCTTTCCAACCTGAAATTCTGAGTTTTCCTATGATTCTGTGTCAAATCTTATTAAGATGTTCATAAAAACATCATTCAATTTTCCCAGCAAAAGAGAAACATTTCAATTCACTTGAATTGTTTGCAAAACTGAATTTCTCTTTTTTCATTCACTCAACAAATATGACGGTGTCTGCTCTGCAGGGTGCTGTAGGGCATACCGAGATCAGTCTGACATTTATTCTACAGCTAAGATGCTTACACTCTAGTGGAGAAGGTAGTAAGTATGCAAATGGGAGAAAGCAGTGATGTTCCACACTGAACACAGGTCACTGATAATTGGGGAAAGTTAAAATGAGGAAAAGGGAAAACTTCTTATCTAAAAGAAACATTCAGAATAAAGCGCTCTGGGATTCACTGCCCCTGAGTGATTAAAGAAGGGCTTGAAGGGTAGATGGATGGAATCACTTGTTCGCTGCCTTCCCTTCACACTCTGAGTAGGAATCTCTTGTCTTGTTCGCTGCTCTAGCTCTCACTGAGCAACACATTGTAGGCATTTCTGTTTCTTGAATGGAAGAATGATCCTTCAACTCTGAAAGTACTAGCATGTTGAGTAAATGCCCTGACTCTTTGCTAGGTTGGTGCTCCTTCTGTGTTGAGGCAGTATGATATGGTGGTTAACAAATTAGACTCTGTAACACCACTGGGATTTTAAATATGGATAGCATAAAGCACCCAAATAGTGGTTGCTGCTGTTTCTCTGTTCATGGTAGAGCATGTGCACATGCATCTGAGAAAGAGAGCCGAGTACCTTCCACGAGCTCCTATTACACCATAATCTGCCGCCTCCGAGTCCTCCGGTCTATAGTAGTTTAGGTACTTGGTGCCTTTGCCCAGCGTGTTTTTCAAGCTTACTGGGCTGGGAATTTGGCCACAGTCACCCTGCATAGTCCAGTCACTGTGGGATCTGCTTCCTTCTGCTTCTTTTGAGCAGAGCATTACCATTTTGCTACAGAGTAACCAGGTTGCTGCTTCTAAGTGAAGTTGTTTACAGCAAGACTGTCTTTAATTTAGTAGCTTATTATTGTTGGCTGGTGCAATGTCAGTTGCTGTAGCTTGCAGTTAAAACATGCTCAGGTTCGCTGGTGGTGTGGTAGTTAAGGTGGCTGGAGGCTGGATCCCACGTGGCCGACTGCATGGCTTGAAAAACACACCTGATGCATATGTGTGCATGCCCAAAATACCAGAAAGAAAATGGAGGAAAAGGGATTGTGGCATGAACATGCCACTGGGGGTGTTTTTTCACTTTGTCTCTTTCTGACAAGTGCATGCCCCCTCTAGCAAATTAAAAAAAAAAAAAAAAAAAAAAAAAAAACAGTGAGTCTTTGTTGACTGATGGATGGACTTTGTGGAGGTGAAGAGAACATCCTTGGAAGAGACAGAAAGCTCCCCGTGGTGCTTATTGGGAGGACGTGAACATCTATTGGGAGGAGGGGTTTAGAATTACCTAGTAGAACTATCTTACCTCTATTAGCAAGAAGCATGAGAATGAGCTGGTGTGCGGAGTATTGTGGGGAAGTTTCCTCGTCTTGGACTAGAACTTATCTAGACAGTCCCAGACTGAGAGGGTGAGAGGAAACATTTCTGAGTACCTACCATATGAGATACTGCTAAGCTTCGGTATATGGGACTAGAAGTTGTCTGAACAGTCTTCAAATGAAAAAAGAAAAGATGTTTTCTGAGTACTTAGTATATTAAATGTTGGCAGATTAGTCATTAACTATCTCTCTTAGTTCTCATAACACTAGTTCATAGGCTATTGGGAAAGTCATAACAGATTTTTCTCTTTTAGAGAGTTTTTGCTATAGGGTGCATGTAAAAATCGCCAAATAGAGACAGAGAGACAGAAAGGGAGAAATCACACACACACACCCCGGGGGGGCCGGGGGGGCTGGCCATCCTGCAGTTACTTCTCCATTCTCCTGGGATTTTGGGCATGCATGCCCATGCACCCAGCATGAATTTTAAGCCACTGGGTCTGGGACTTGAACCACGGTCAAGTGGAATTCCAGAGGTGTTAACATTACACCATCTGCTGGTCCCAATGACAGATTTTTCTATGCAAAAAAATGTGTCATAACTTTTCTAATGACCCAATATTTTACAAAATGAAGTGGCTGAGGCTCAGAAAAGTTTGGTAATTTGACCTAGCATAGTGCCTGGCACATGGTAGGCACTTATTTTTAACTTAAAACATGTTTTTCTTTAGAAATAATTGACATCAGGGACCAGCAGATGGCATGATGGTTATGTTGCTGGACTTCCATGTAATTAACCACGGTTTGAATCCCATACTCAACCAGCAGATGGCACATCGGGTGTGTGTGCGTGCATGCCCAAGATCCCGAGAGGAGAATGGAGGAGAAGGGATTGCAGCATGGCCATCCCCCCTGGGGGGTGATTTCTCTCTTTCTGTCTCTCTGTCTCTCTCTTTCTGGCGAGCGCACATGCCCTATAGCAAAAACCTCTCTCCCCCACAAAAAGAAAAAGAAAAGAAAAAAATAAATAATTGACATGAAAATTGGGTTTCCAGACAGCCCCTACTCCATGATATACATGAAGTTGGGATCAACATTGATTCATTCATGCAATAAAGTTTTATTTAGCATTTTGCTGGGTGCTAAATATGTAAGACAAAGTCCCAGCTTGCAAGGAAGTTAGTGTTGGGGTGATAGGTGGACAGACTGCGCGGAATGTATGTGCTGTGGCCAAGGTAGGCACTAGTGGATGGTTCATTTCAGCCTACAAGAAGGGCATCTTACTTGGACCGGAGAGTAAAGGAAACTTTTGAAAGGAGCTGAGACCAGAAAGCCTAGTAGGAGATGCCAAAGTAGAGGAGTGAGGGAAGGCTTTCTGGGTGGAGAGGACAGAACCATAAAAGACACAGAGAAAACTGCAAGGGGATTGTTGACCAGAGCCCATGTCATGTAGGGCTTTTAGGCCATGCCAGGAACTTGGATGTGACATCAGCCTTTTTTAGTAGAGGACTGCTGAAAGGTTCTGGGCAAGGAAGACGACACAGTTGTATATTCGTTTCAGGAAGTTCAAACTGGTGGCTGCTATGGATGCATTGGAAGAAATTAAGAGTAAAAGCAAAGAAAGTGCTGGCTCATAGGCCAGTGGTTAAAGGAGTTAGATCCCATATGGCTGGCGATGCAGTGTGAGTCCCAGACCTGGCGACTTGAGAAACACGCCAGACGTACATGCATGCATTCCCAGAATCCCAATAGGATGGAGAAGTGGAGGGAGAGACTGGCATGACCATGTCACCAGGGAGTACTTTTTCCTTTCGCTCTCTCTGTCTCTGACCAGCACACACATACCTCTGGCAAATTAAAAAGAAAAAGAAAACTAAAAGCAATGGGAGCATCTGTTACTTTTTCTCTTTTTTTAAAGTTTTTTTGCTAAAGGTCACATGTGCTCACCAGAGAGACAGAGACCAAGAGGGAAAGTGAGAAATCACTCCCCAGGAAGGGTGGCCACGCAACAGTCCCTTCTCCATTCTCCTGGGATTTTGAGAACGCACACGCATGAATTGTGTGATTTTCAAGCCACCAGGTCTGGGACTCAAACCCGGTTGGCCAAATGGAAGTCCAGCAACGTAACCACTACACCATCGGCAGGCCCTACATTTGTTTCTCTACCCCATATAGAATAAGATTTCCACGAGGAAAATGCATGTAGATTTAAACTGATGTCAGCATATATCACTCCTGTTCTTTGCAATAGCTGGGGGAAAATCCCTGCCTCTATTTCCTCTACTTCCGGACTAAGAGCAGTGGGAATGAGACCAGTTTCTAGATCCGAGCTATTCTTAGAGACTTAAGCTGAGTCAGACACTTGTCACTCACAAGGGAGATGAGAGGTGCTAGGAAAAGAATGGTGGAGGGAGAGGAGCTTGAATGAGGGTTTTAGGATGAGCCGTGTGATGGTTGAGTAATTAACAGAGGGCCAAGAAAGCGGGTGCTCCAGCGGGTTGGGGAATGGAGACCTTTGAGGATCCTGGCTTTCTCCAGTTATACATCAGTGAGCGCACTGCTTGCCCCTTAATTTAGGTCCCAGGTAATCTTCCTACTCAACGCTTGTTTTTTTTTTTTCAGAGAGGTTTTCGCTATAGGGCACTTGTGCTTGCCAGACAGAGAGGGACATAGAGACAGAAAGCGAGAAATCACCCCCAGGGGGGATGGTCACACTGCAGTCCCTTCTCCTCCATTCTCCTCTCGGGATCTTGGGCACGCACGCACACATGCCCGACGTGAGTTTTAAGCCACCAGGTCTAGGACGCAAACCGCGGTCAACTACGTGGGAGTCCAGCGACATAGCCATTATGCTAACTGCTTGTTCTCCCTACTCAACACTTTTTAAAATGCTCTTGGTACCAGTCATGATCTGCCTGTTTCTGTTTCCTTTTCACTGGCACCACCCGTTGCTTCTAAGACTGAACTATTGATTGCAATGTAAACATGGCAACTTTTGGACTGCGTTTTGGCTGCTAATATTAAAGCCTCAGAATAAAATTATTTTCTTCTCTTTTTTTCCCCTTTTCTACTAGTATCCTTTAAGAAAGGAAAAAACACATCTAGATGCTAATAATCACAAAATTATTAAAGCATGATTTGACCACACTTTAGAAAATTAATCAAACTTAGTGTAACTTAGAGATTTTATCATAGAAGAGAAGCCTTTGTGAAAATGCCCATTGCCCCTCAACCCTGAAAGAACTTATCTCTTTTTCTGTGTTTTAATTTGCTGTAAGGTGCGTGCACTCACCAGAGAGAGAGAGAGAGAAAGCACTCTGCAGGGTGTGGTCACGCCACAGTCCCTTCTCTTCCAGTCTCCTCAGGATTTGGGGCACGCATGCACACTTACCTGGCACAGTTGGCCACGTGGGGGTCTAACCATCTTAATGACCAGGCCACTGGCTGGCCTAGGAGCTTTCTCTTTCCTGCTTTTTAACTGCCAGCTCCTGCACAACAGACTCCACTGTGGTATGAAGTGTTAAGCAGAGTGGGCAGAGGATGGTTCCAGGTGGCAGCGGGCTGAAGGAGATAGAGGGGCTTCTACGCCATTGTCAGGGGGAGGAAGGGGAAGGCTCTGTTGCTTTGGCCCCCTGAACTTACTGTTGCCAATATGTATAATTCCCCGTTTGTACAGAAGATGGTGTGTGGTATAGAAGCTTCCTGTAAGTAGAATTTCCTTTTTGATTATACCAATTATGTTATATAACAGTTTCATCAAAAAACTTTTTCCAGTCTTGCCACTCAGTTCCATCACTGACTGGATTGTCATTCTCTTTTTCTTTTTAATTGGCCTTACCCATATTTAGTAAGATTGCCAATAGTGAAATGTTTAAAGTAGGAAGTTTTTTAAAAAGACTGAAACCTGTGAAAAATTAAGCCCTTGAAGAGTCGAGAATTTTTTTTTTTTACTGGTTTAATGCATTTTTTTAAAGAAATACACATATTTAGAAACTTCAGTTTTAAATTTGTATCTTAAAAATTCTGGTTTTGGGGAACAGCAATTGGTGTAATGACTATGTCGCTGGACTCCCATGTAGTCGATCATGGTTCGAGTCCCAGACCCGGTGGCTTAAACTCACGCTGGGCATATGTGCATATGTGCCCAATATCCCAAGAGGAGAATGGAGGAGAAGGGAATGCGGCGTGGCCATCTCTCCTAAGGGGTGATTACTTGCTTTCTGTCTCTGTCTCTCTCTGTCTTTCTGGTAAGCACATGCCCTATAGCAAAAACCTCTCAAAAAAAAAAAAAGTCTGATTTTAAAAGATCAGGAAGGGGACCAGCAGTTGGCGTAATGGCTATGTCGCTGGACTCCCACGTAGTCGACCGCGGTTTGTGTCCCAGACCCAGTGGCTTAAAACTCACGCTGGGTGGTGTGCGTGCGTGCCCAAGATCCCAAGAGGAAAATGGAGGAGAAGGGATTGTGGCGTGGCCATCCCCCCTGGGGGGTGATTTCTCGCTTTCTGTCTGTCTGGCGAGTGCACGTGCCCTATAGCAAAAAAAAAAAAAACTCTGAAAAAATAAAAATGATCAAGGAAAAAGAGTTGCAGCAGTTCATTAGTTTGGGTTAAGGTGCATGAATTTGATGCAGGTGTTAATAGTAAAGGGATTTTTCTTTGTGTGCTGTTTTCCCTTGGCTTGTAATTCATAACTGGAATCTTTTTTTTTCTAAAGAATTATTTTATATATTTATACACACACACACACACACACATATATTTATCTATCTTTTAATTTATTTAAATTTGACCAGAGAGGGACAGTGAGAGAGAAAGAAAGTGAGAAAGCAAGCCACCAGGTCCAGGACTCGAACCACAGTCAGCCATGTGGGAGTCCAGCACCCTTAACCACCACACCGCCTGCCGCCCCCATAACTGGGATCTTCACAGACCATGAACTTGGCAAACTGACAGACCAGTTGTTGTTTGGGTTTAGAACTGGAAGCCTTGAAGCAGCGTTTCTGGAAGCACGCTAACCCAGCAGTCAAGCCCAGGGCTGGTCAGAAGCTGAACGTGAACGTCATAGTGAAAGACACCGGCAGTGATGGAAAGGAAGAGCTGAAGGCAGACGTGGTACCTGTCACTTTGGCAGCAGAGAACCTGGAGGGAGCAAGCCACACAAAGCCAGGTATTTGTCTGCAGGAGGGTTTTGTTTATGCTCTCCTGGCAGGTCTTTATAGCTTTTGGAAAACTCTGTAGTGAAAAACTATGGGATCTTTTTCCTTGGCGACTTTGGAAATTGGACGGCAGAAGATTGGCATGATTCACATCTAGAGGTGTAGAATGGCAAAGATGGCTTTTTTTTTTTTTTGGAGAGGTTTTTGCTATAGGGTGCGTGCACTCCCCAGAAAGACAGAGACAGAAAGCGAGCAATCACCCCCCAGGGGGATGGCCACCCCATAGTCCCTACTGTTCCATTCTCCTCTCAGGATTCTGGACACGCACACACATGTGCCTGGCATGGAGTTTAAGCCACTGGATCCAGAACTTGAACCGTGGTCGACTACATGGGAGTTCAGTGACATAGCCATTACGCTAACTGCTGGTCCCAGAAGATGGCTTTTTTTATTTTCCAGTTTGCTATAGGGTGCATGTACTCTCTAGAGAGAGAGGGGGAAAGTAAGAAATCACTCCCTGGGAAAGATGGCCACGCTACAATCCCTTCTCTTCCATTCTCTTCTTGAGATTCCAGGTACGTGTGCACATGCGTCCAGTGGGGTTTTCAAGCCTTCGGGTCCAAAACTCAAACTGTGCAGCTGGCCATGTGGGATCCAGTCACCTTAACCTCCATGCTGCTTGCTGGCCTGGCTTTTTTGTTAAAATAGCATTTGTCTTATTATTATTATTTTTTTAATTATTTAACTTACTTATTTAGTTAGTTAGTGGTTTTTAATTTGACCAGAGAGGGACAGAGTGAGAAAGAGAGGGAAAGTGAAAGCAAGCCTCCAGGTCCGGGACTTGAACCACAGTCGACCATATGGGAGTCTAGTGCCCTTCACCACCTTGCTATCTGCCAACCCCCATTTGTCTTGTTATAAAAAATAATATTTATCATAGAAAATACAATGGTCTACCCTTATTATCCACAGGAGATACATTCCAAGACCCCAGTGAGTGCCTGAAAGCATGGCTAGAATTGAACCCTGTATATGTTGTTTCTTCCTATGCATATGTCTGTGATAAAATGTGTAGCTTTGGTATAGTTAGAGATACCTGTAGTAAAATAGAACAGTGATAGCAACCTAGCCTAATAAAAGTTGCCAATGGTCTCTGCTGTATAGTATAGTGTATCTTATACTGTACTCACCTATTTCAGATCGTGATTGAGTGTGGGTTCCTGAAATCCTGGAATGTAAAATCTGTCCCTCGAGGGAGGCTACTGTAGTAGGATAAGCAAAACATGTAGTCCTTCACTGTTCTATTTTACTACAGGTATCTCTAACTATACCAAAGCTGTAACTCATCTGTTGTGTATCTTTATTTAACTCTTTTTTTTTTTTGAAGAGATTTTCACTATAGGGCTCATGTGCTTGCCAGACAGACAGAGAGAGACAGAGAAACAGAAAGCAAGAAATCACCCCCTGGGGGGATGGTCACGCCGCAATCCCTTTTCCTCCATTCTCCTCTTGGGATCTTGGGCATGCACACACACGCGCCCAGCGTGAGTTTTAAGCCACCGGGTCTGGGACGCGAACCGCGGTCAACTACGTGGGAGTCCAGCGACATAGCCATTACACTAACTGCTGGTTCCCTTTATTTAACTCTCTTTACACGTATATATGCATATTTTTTGACCAATAATGCAGTCATACCATACATTCTTCTTTGTGATCTACCTTTTTATTTATTTATTTGAGAGAGATTTTTGCTATAGGACACATGTGTTCACCAGAGAGACAGAGAGAAAGCAAGATATCACCCTCCAAGGAGGATGGTCACGCTGCAGTCCCTTCTCTCCGAATTTTAGCCACACACACATGCCTGGCATGAGTTTTAAGCTGCTGAGTCTAGGACTCAAACTATGATCGACTGTGTAGGAGTCCAGCAATGTGACCATTATGCCATCTGCTGGTCCCATAATCTACCTTTTTAATAATATGTTAAGGGCAGGTTTGTTGTTCTCATCTCTACCTTGAAAATACAAGTAATATGTCATGTGGAAAAAAATTTTAAAGCACAGGACCAGAAGATGGTGTATTGGTTACGTCTTTGTACTCTCACATGGGCGACTGCGGTTCAACTCCTGGACTTGGAAGCTTGAAACTAACACTGGCCGTGTGTGCACGTGTGCCCCAAATCCCAAGATGAGAATAAAGGAGAAAGGATCGTGGCATGACCATCCCTCTTGGGGGGTGAATTCTCACTTTCTATCTCTCCGTCTCTCCAGCAAGTGCATGTGCCCTGATGCAAAAATCTCTCTCTTAATTATAACACTAAAAATATGTATAAAATGAAAAATTAGTCGTCCCAAAGGTAATGTATCAATTTCTTGTTTGTCCTCCTAGGAGAGTTTTTCTGCATGCACTGTTTTGTGTGTCTGCGTCACGTTGAACTTGGTTCTTCCAGGCACTACTCTAGGTGTTTTATCTCTTTACACACTATCTCATTTAATCCTCACAACCCCATGAGATAAAGAACATTTGTATTCTTCTTTTATATACAACGAATGAAGGTGCAGAGCACTTAAACTACTAGCTCAAGTTTGCCTAGCTAGTAAATCCAGCAGCTTAATCCAGATCACCTAACTGCAAAACCTAGATATGTAGGTTTTAAGGCCTTTTACTTTTTTTTTTATTATTATTATTTAAAGTTTGCTAGAGAGTATGTGAGAGAGACAAAGAGAGAGAAGTGAGAAGTCAACTCCAGAGGGCATAGCCACGCCACAATCACTTTTCCTCCACTCTCTTGGAATTTGGGGCACGCATGCACATGTGCCTGGTGTATTTTCCAAGCCTCTGGGTCTAGGACTTGAACTGAGCAGTTGACCATGTGGAATCCAGCCACCTTACCTACCATTTAGAGACTTTTTAAAAAATGGCTGCGTAATAGTCCAGTAAATGAATACATCATGATTTGTTCAACCATATTCCTATCAAAGGACATCTTGTTTACTCTAGCTTTTGGTTATTGCATGTAATACTGAATCCTATACCAGATATATATTGGGATATAGGGATACAAAATTCCTTAGCAGTAGTGGGACCAGGCGATGGTATAAAGGACTCTCACATAATCAACCGTGGGTCAAGTCCTGGACCTGGCAGCTTAAAGCTCACTGGGCATGCGCACATGAGTGTGTGCCCAAAATCCCGAGAGGTCAAGTCCTGGACCTGGCAGCTTAAAGCTCACACTGGGCATGTGCACATGAGTGTGTGCCCAAAATTCCGAGAGAATGGAGAAGAGGTTACAGTGTGGCCATCTCTCCTGGGGGATGATTTCTCCCTTTCTGTCTCTCCAGTGAGCGCACATGCTCTATAACCAAAAATCTCTCTAAAGAAAAAAAAATTTTAACAGTAGAATTATGGAGTCAAATTTTGATATATCCTTTTCTCCGCCCCCAAATTTTGGTATATATCATCTAGTTGTCGTTCAGAGTGGTTGTAGCAGTTTATACTCTGAATCACAGCATATAAGAGTTTGCTTCCTTTTATTGATAATGGATATTATCAAACTCTCTATTTTTGCCAAAGGAATAATGCCAAAAATCATTTTGTTTTTGATTTGTATCTATTTAGAAGTGAGGTTAAGCAATATTTTCATGTTTTTTTTTTTTTTTTAAGAATTATTTATTTATTGGGATTGGCAAGTGGAGTGGTAGTTGGGCATCAGACTTCCACATGGTGGCTGCGGTTCGAGTCTTGAACCTGGCGGCTTGCCTTCTCTCTCTCTCTCTTACTCTCTCCTTCTCTGGTCAAATTAAAAATAAATAATTTTTAAAAATTATCTTATTTATTTAATTTTATTTGTTGTAGTTGTTATTTTTAAATTTGACCAGAGAAAGAGAGAAAGGGAAAGTGAGAAAGCAAGCCACCAGGTCCGGGACTCGAACTGTAGTTGGGCTTGTGGAAGTCCAGTGCCTTAACCACCATGCCACCTGCCAGCCCCCAAGCATTATTTTTAATTTGATTATTAACAATATATGTTCTGGGGCTGGCAAGTGGCTTGGTGGTTAAAGGTGCTGGATCCTACATGGCCAACCATAGTTCAAGTCTTGACCTTGGCAACTTCTTTTCTCACTTTCTTTCTCTCTCTGTCTCTCTCTGTCTCTCTCTGGTCAAATTGGAAAATAATAATAAATAAAGTTTAAATATTCTTTAAAAAACAAACCAAAAATGTTCTACCAGTTTATATCTTTTGTCTATTGTGCTCTTTAGTTGTTTCTCTCTCCTTTTTATTCAAGAATTATTTTATTTAGGGACCAGCAATTAGCGTAATGGCTATGTCGCTGGACTCCCATGTAGTCGACCTCGGTTTGCATCCCAGACCCAGTGGCTTAAAACTCACGCCGGGCACATGTGTGTGCGTGCCCAAGATCCCGAGAGGAGAATGGAGGAGAAGGGATT